TCCATTGAGGTTAGGTAGAAACCACTTAGATAAGGCTATGTCGTGACATAGGATAGTAGATCTGCACCCCATACAGTTTGGTACTTTTCATCCAGTTTCATACAGTTTTTCTTATCACTTCGTTTCACTATAACCTTATGGAGCTATACAGTTTATATCGACTACAAATTGCATAATCATACCAGTATACTAAAACAGCAAGAAAGATCATTAAGGGAAAAATAAAAGGTATCATGATTGTGCTCTTGCTTTACATTCCATATGTGGAGTAAATGTTTATTTCTACATATGATGTGATTAATATGTTTCTTCATTCATCTGATATGTTTCTTCATTCATTGTGATATTCACTGAATTTAATCAAAGTTGCAGAGTTCATACAGCATAAAGAACATCAGGTAAGATCATGAAAGTAACATGTTATATATGCTTACGCGTTTATTTATTTAATTCTTAAGGAGCCATACAGTCATGAGATGTTATTAATCATAACTTATATGATGTGACTAAAAGTGCATAAGTTATACAGCATAATGAATAGCAAGTAAGACAATGAACATATACTGTTATGTAATCTTACATGTTTATTGATTTCATTCATACAACACAATGACCAGCAGGTAAGATCATGATAGTATCATAAGGTGTGATTTAAGGTTCATGTAAAGGAGTTATGAGATAATTAGAACTAAATTATTGATGTTTATGAAGAGTTTCTTCGTTGCTATACAAGAGACATTTATGTTGAAATTTACTGATTCTATGAGATCAATGCTTTATGAAATTTATATTAATTGGTATTTGAAGTTAGTTGCCATCGAATTTTGTTTAGTATGTGAAGTATGAGAACCACTGAGTTTTATACTCAGCGCGTCGATTTTTATCACGCGCAGGTTGAAGATCGTGATTACTACTTGAAGACTTGAGGAGTACGTTCAAAGCAGAAGTGACTAACTTGGTCATAGTAGATTGAGAGTTGTAATATTAAAATTTATGGCATGTATAATTTTTCCATTTGTTAGAGCTTCTGTAATTGAAAATATAAGTGAAACATGTAATTATTTTGGTGTAAGTAGTTGGAGAGAAGAATAATATTTATGAAATGATTGAAGATGAAATAGTTTACTATAGTTGGTATGATTAGGTCATGAAAACTTGATATAGATTCTGAATGAAATTAATTATAGATCATGAATGCAATTAATTGCTGGATTTTCAATGCTAGTGAGGATTTATACAGTTATGACTATATATCTGTTTTATATTCATATTTAGCATACCGGATGATATCAGCATGACAGGATATAAGTTCAACCAAATTGTAGCGTCTCGGCTCGGTTCATTCGGGTTAACGGGTGGACCGGGAAGGGATGTTACAAGGAGACTATTTCTTATGGCTTGATATCTGCTATCAATGCTAGGAGAATGCTAAGCAAAGGCTACGAAGGATATATAGCATTGATAAGGGATACTAATATAGGCACAACTAAATTAGAAGATATACCTATTGTGAATGAATTTTCGGATGTCTTTCCAGAAAAACTACCAAGTTACCTCCTGATAGGGAAATTAAATTTTGTGTCGACGTTGCTCCTGAAACAGAACTATCTCCATGCCTCCTTATAGGATGGCACCTGCAGAGCTAAAAGAACTCAAAACTCAATTGCAAGAATTGCTCGATAAAGGCTTCATTAGGCTAAGTACATCACCTTGGGGTGCTTCAGTTCTTTTTGTAAAGAAAAAGGACACTTTGCATTTATGCATCGATTATAGACAACTTAACAAGGTGACTGTGAAGAACAAGTATCCACTCCCCAGAATTAATGATTTATTCAATCAACTTCAAGGAGCCACTTGCTTCTCTAAGATTGATCTGAGATCAGGCTGTCATCAATTGAAGATTCAAGAACAAGATATTCCAAAAATAGCTTTTAGAACCAGATAAGGCCATTATGAGTTTTGGTCATGTCCCTTGGACTTACCAATGCTCCTGCAGCTTTCAGCTTTCATGGATTTAATAAAATCGAAGTGTTCAAGCCTATACTTAGATTGGTTCATGATTGTTCTTTATGACGACATATTGATTTATTCTAAGTTATGAAGTAGAGCATTCTCAACATTTGAGAAATGGTGTGGGACCTTGCAGAACATAAGCTTTATTGCAAAGCTCTCCAAATATGAATTTGGTTGGAAAGTGTGAACTTTTTGGGACACGTTTAATTTCCAAGGATGGTCTAATGGTTTTGATCCCAGAAGATTGAAGCAGTTACCAACTGCATAGACCTACTACAGTTATAGAAATACATAGTTTTTTCCAGTCTAGCAGGATATTATCATCAAGCTTTATGCAAAGCTCTCCAAATATGAATTTGGTTGGAAAGTGTGAACTTTTTGGGACACGTAATTTCCAAGGATGGTCTAATGGTTGATCCCAAGAAGATTGAAGCAGTTACCAACTGGCATAGACCTACTACAGTTATAGAAATACATAGTTTTCCAGGTCTAGCAGGATATTATCATCGATTTATGCAAAACTTCTTTAGAATTGTAGCTCCTTTGACCAAGTTAACACAAAAGAATGCAAAGTTCATTTGGGCTCAAGCATATGAAGCAAGCTTTCAAAAGCTTAAAGAATGCCTAATTACTGCTCTAGTATTGCCTTACCATCAGGTTCAGAAGGTTATATTGTATTCTATGATGCCTCCAAAATAGGATTAGGTTGCGTATTAATGCAATATAGTGGAGTGATTGCCTATGATTCAAGGCGATTGAAGAAGCATGAACAAAATTACCCTACTCATGATTTGGAAATGCAGCAATCATATTTGCTCTTAAGATATGGAGGCACTATTTATATGGTGTCACTTGTGAGATTTTCACAAATCATAAGAGCTTAAAGTATATATTTAACCAGCGAGATTTAAATTTGAGGCAAAGATGATGGATGGAGTATTTTAAAGATTATGATTGTAAGATTCAGTATCATACAGGGAAAGCCAATCTAGTGGCAAATGCTTTGAGCTGAAATTCCATGGGAAGTTTGAGTGGCATTACTGAAGAAAGAGGACCATTAGTGCACGAGCTAAATGAAATATTCAATGAGGGCCTTAGGTTAGAGGTTTCCTATCCTAATAATACTTATTTAGCTCATTTCAGAATTAGACCATTATTGCTAGACAAGATCAAGGTTGCACAGCCACATGATCCTCAGTTGTAAAGAATTATGCAAGAAGTGACTACAGGCGGATCTAGTGACTTTATGATTGCTAGTAATGGAATTCTTAAAAAGGGGACTAGATTGTATAAACCAGATGTAAAAGATCTTAAGAAGGACATTATGGATGAAGCTCATTATGCTGCTTATAATGTACATCTTGGAACCACCGAAATGTATCAAGGGTTAAAGGACAATTATTGGTGGCACGAAATAAAGAAGGATGTAACTGATTTTGCATCTAGATGTCTTACTTGTCAGCAAGTAAAGGCTGAACATCAGAGACCCCTTAGATTGATTCAAGAATTGCCTTTGCCGGAATGGTGATGGAAAAGGATAAGTATGGATTTCGTTACAGGTCTACCCAAAACCTTGAAAGGGTATGATTCTGTATGGGTCATAGTAGATCGACTCGCCAAATGAGCTCACTTCCTACCAGTTAAAACTAAATACATGGCTAATAAGTTAGTAGAGCTCTATATTTTGAAGATCGTGAAATTACATGGAATTCCTGTCTCCCATTATCTCTGATAGAGGGACCCAGTTCACCTCTAATTTCTGGAAGGCTATACAGGTAGCTTTGGTACCAAACTCAATTGCAGCACGGCTTTTCATCCTCAAACGGATGGACAATCGGAACAAACTATACAGACCTTAGAAGACATGCTTAGAATGTGTGTTTTAGATTTTAAAGGAAACTGGGACTCATATTTGCCGTTGATTGAATTCGCTTACAACAACAGTTATCAGACTAGTATAGGGATGGCACCTTACGAAGCGCTGTATGGCAAGAAATTTTGATCTCCTATATGTTGGAAAGAAGTCGGAGACAAACAACTAGCAGGACCTGATTTAATTCAGATTGCTTCAGAAAAAGTACCAATCATTAGAGTAAGGATTAAAGCTACTTTCAATAGGAATAAGAGATATATTGATCCCAAACACAGAGATGTAACTTTTCAAGCAAGCGATTAGGTATTTTTAAAGTTGTCACCTATGAAGGATATTCTATGATTTGGTAAAAAGGGAAAACTAGCCCCAAGCTACATCGGTCCTTTCACTATCGTTAAACAAATTGGAAAAGTAGCATATTAGTTGGATCTACCAAATGAATTCTCACACATGCATCCATTTTTCCACATATCTATACTGAGGAGATACATTTCCGACCCTGCTCACATGATAGTGGCACAAGATGTCCAAGTCTATGGGGATCTGACTTACAAAGTGGTACCAGTTTAGATTTTAGATTTTCAGATGCGTAAATTACGATCTAAGGAAATCCCTATGGTTAAAGTTCTTTCGAGAAACCTTTCGATTGAGGAATGTACTTGGGAGGAAGAGGCAGAGATGAGAGAGAAATACCTGCATCTCTTTTCTAAATTTGAATCTTAATCATGCTTTCATTGTTGAAGTTATCAATTCTATACTTGTTTCCTCTTTATGGATATGTTCTTTGGCTTAACTTTGCTTCTAAGAGTATCATGAGTTATCTTTTTTTCTTGATGGAACCAAAATTTGAGGACGAACTTTTATAAGGGGAAGATTGAAATGACCCAAAATTTTATTTTCGAAGCTGATCAAATTAAATTTAATTTAAAAAATCCACGAAAATATTGTCACTCGAATCAAACCATTTTAACTACGTTAATTCACACAAACCATGTGAAACCCAAATAACCCAAACCTCTTTCTAGAAGAACCAAATCAACTTCCTAAGGAAGTTCACGAAAATCAAGGTATGACTTAAATAATAATAATAATAAAAAGGAAAAAAAGAGAAGATCCTAGACTACCCAAAACGACGTGAATTCCCTTCCCCAATTTTAATCAAATTTTTATTATTATTACCTTTACTTCCTTTATTTTCTGTTCTTTTCTTTATTTCTTTCCATTTCTCCTTCTCTTCATCGATACCTTCCTTCTCCCTTCTCAATCCGTCGATAACTCCACTCCTACCGGCTGGAAAAGAGATTACCGGTGACGGGAAAGAAACCTGACTATCTCTCTCTCTCTCTCTCTTCTCTCGATTTTTCGACGACGACGAGCTACTCCGGCGACTTCTTTCGCTCAGGTTAGTTGAAACCTAACCATTAACACTTTTAGTTAGTTCTTCTTTAATTAATTTGATCTTTGAATGAAGTTTTGAAGGATTTAGAAAATTAGATTTTTAATTAAAAATTATTTGGGAATTTGGATTAAATCGATTTAATTAGTAGAAATTGACCTCAAATTGACACTCTACGTTAAATTTAGAGCAAAGTCGTGGTGAGATTGCTTGATTTCGGACTTGCCACCGCTCTAACCACCAAGTACGTCGGCGATGCCGGTGGCCAGATGGTTCCGGTGGCCAGAGCTTTGAAGAGGCAGAATGTTGCCCTTTTTATGTAGATTATGAATATACAGTTAGTTTTGCAATCCGAATTCATTTGACCTTCGAATAATTATTTGACGCAAATTTAGAAATTTGGTGTTATAGCCTAAAAACTACAGAAATGTGAGTTATATATAGATTTTGTGATCTTAGCAAACTTATGTTGATTAATTATCAAAGTAGGTACAATAAAATAATAAGATTTAAATTATTTAGATAGGTTTATATATAAAGAATATTTTATCCCTTTTTAAAACAAAATTAAGCTTTGTAGTATATAATATGTATGTTAACAAGCTGTACTTAAGTATTAGTTAGAATCTTCAGTCATTGAAGTATTTGATACATATGTATTTGAAGTTGGAAATGTAAATTTTATTGGATATTGATGTTGTTTAAATCAAAATGTATGGTTGGATATTAAGGATGAGATTTTGATGAATATTGTTAACGGTGGACGGGTTTCATTGATGTGAATGTTGCTCAATGGATGGGCTTTATAAATTAATGTGATTTGTGGATATTTTATTAGGGGAAAAGTCAAAACTTTTAGGGGAAACCCTTCCGCCTTTTTGATAGAATTTTTAGAATATTATTCAAACTACAGGAATTCAAATTCTATCAATAAGCAAAAATAGTTATTAATTTTAGCTTGTTTATTTCTTCTAGTTGGTGATAGAGCGAGACCTTCTTCCTCCTCCGCTCCTGGTGCCCAACAATGCTAGATTTTCGGATCTCTCTATGAGTAATAATATATAATGCTTTACCAAATTCATGCAGGCATAATTTATTTTAAATTTTGCATCTGTTTATTTTCAAGTACAAATATATATATGCTATATATATAAATGGATGGATGTGCATTGATTAAGATTGTGAATAAATTACTTGGTATAATGTTATGTGATTGTTGTGTGGAAGTTGGGACGACGTGGATCATCTGGGTTGAGAGCACGGGCATGGTGAGGATGCCTTCTATGGGCCATAAGCGGTGGGAGTGGCGCCCCCCCTTTTGTACCCGGAATTTAATGTTTATTATGGAAAAATTCTTATGATAAATAAAAATGCTTTATAAAAAATATTTATACCTGAATCTGATTTGCCTGAACAAGGGTGGGCTCCTTGGTTACATAAGTCACAGGACCTTGGGATTATATTATTAACGTTAAAGCATGCTTGCGGGTGAGCATGGTCCTGTTAAGGTGTGCATTATGGTGGTTATTATTTGTGGGTGCTGTATTTGACATTGTATGACTGGTGAATGCTCAATTAGAAGAGTCTAGGAACATATCGCTTGATTGTTTGGATTTAATATTATGTATTATTATTCACTGAGTTTTATACTCATTCCCGTTGTATCTACATTTTTCAGGAAGAAGCTCTTTTTCCTCTTTTGACAAATAGCTTTGTTCCCCCTTCATCAACAGAGCCTTAATGTAAATTTTAACTGCTTTTGAACTTCTTTTTGTATCAAAACTCTATCTGTATAAATAATCCAACCTTTGCAGTTACTTAGGACTAATTGGGTATGAATGGGGAGTTAGCTACTCCAATATTTTTGTAATAAATTTAAAGTCTTTGTCGGTTCTTATGAAGGAACAAGCCCATCAATTATGACAATATGGTCTGATGGTGCCATGGATGGGTCCGATTATGAGTATTGATTATATTTATATGCTACGGGCTGGATGTAATATTTGTATTTATATTATTATTTCTCCTGAAATTTATTTGGATCATGGCACTTATTTATTTTATTATGAAATATGGACTTGGGCTTCATAAGATGAATGATTATAAAATAAATGAGCCTTTAAAATGCTATTGATATATGAACATTTGAAATTCTTAAATGGGCCTAGTATTTAGGCTTAGTGATTCTTAGGCTTACTATGGATTTCAGTAGCCTTATATTTACCTGCCGTTCTGACCCATAGAAATGGGTCGTGATACATTAAGTATTACAAAGTTGAAGTTGATAAATGGTTAAAATGAAAAAGTTCAGGAGGATTTTAAGCGTTCAATAGATAGATTATATATATATGTACATTGATTTAAATTGTAATTATTACTGGGGAAAAAAATAATAAATTTTTAAATTTTAATCAAATTAACACTAAAGACATTTGTTTTTTAAAAGGCAATTATGAGGTCCTTAAATTTGATTCGGTTAATAATTTCATCTACAAATTTCCTATCAGTCTTAGCCATTTAAGTGAGCCTGAGAGAGAAAACTTTTAAATCCCAAAAACACCCCGAAGTATGACAATGTTATCGTCAACGGCGAACCGAAGGCAATTGATGCGTGGTTGTTCATGGTTGCTATCCTCGGCATTGAAAGAGAGATTAACTCTGATAAGAGTAATTCTAGCTTGCATGAACCCGATTGTGGTTTTGATAGTTGAGATTTTGCATAGGCAAGTTCAAGGCCATTGGATAAGAATTTGTCCTGGGCAATGGTGATGAGAGCTGAGCAAGGAAAGGTGGATAACTCTTTACGAAGTGTATGAAGAACCGACCTGATGGAGTCAATGCGGGTGGGGATTAGCCCGTGCTTATCGGAGCCAGTAAAAGTGCGTAACTTTTCTTCTTTTTGTTTTTTTTCTCTCAATTATATAAACTGATTTAATCTTGTTCTTTGATTTTGATTTATTCTTTTTGTTTTTTTTCTCTCAATTATATAAACTGATTTAATCTTGTTCTTTGATTTTGATTTATCATTTTATTCTATTGAAATAAAAGAACTAGTTTAAGTTACTTTGCTGTGGGTATTATTAATCTTTGTTACTATATTCAGTTTATTTAGATAGCTTTTCATTCAAGATTTGCAAACAGAATCTCAATAAACCCATTTGCTAATTTGAGCATTTAATTTGTAAATTGTAGAAGAAATTAAACAAGAAGAAGGGAATGAATCCAATGTAATGGCGAAGCTTGAAGTTAAAATTCTTATAGATTTTATGCAGAAAATTAGAAAAGAAGCCATTAATAAATGTTTCAAGAAAGATGTTCTTGATGCTTTTGCAGCCAAGAGAAAGAGAGGTTGTTTAGAAAGTGAGGACGGTAAAGAAGAAAAGTAAGAAAGATTTAAAAAGCCATCGAAGGGAGAAAATCACAAAAAGCAAATTTCAAAAGCTAAAAGAAGGGTAAGAAATAGATATTGAAATAATTGGATTAAATCTTTCATAGATGTGCCTCTTCCTGAATTGCATAGAAAAATTGATGGTAAAGGAGGGGTTTATTTAAAATTAATGGAACAATTCTTATGCAAGCTTTTAAGTGTTATACTGGAACCATGTGGGCATGAAGCTGAGATGGTTTTAAGGAATGGAGTATGCAAAGTTCTGATATCTATTATTTGACCGAAGAGTCTTGGACAATAATCTCAGTCCAGTGCTACGGAGGAGATGGTTAGTGAGTTGCAGGGTGGAGAGGAGTGAAGGAGGGAATGAGGGCATTTTCGTACTTCCACATTAATTTCACGGTTAAAGTAAAGTTGAGTATTTTGGACGGAAGAATGAAACTGTCCACAGAATCAAAATTTGGGATTCTTATAATTGCCTTTTAAAAATAGAGATTTTCAAATGTTAATTAGGTAAAAATTTAGAGGTCTTATAATTGTTATTTTATTTGAAAGGTAATTACAACTAGGTGAGACTAAACGAGAGCAAAAGATCAGGTGAAGAATAGGAGAATAGAAATCGAAGAAATCAGGTGACCCGATCCATTTTTCATCATTGAAGAAGAGGAATCGAAAAGATTATGTCACAGTAAACCGGACGAAGATTTCTTTAACAAAAAAAACAAAAGAAAAAAGAAGTTAATAGTACTCATTTTGCTTCTTTCGCTTTGTGCAATCGGTGATGTCTACTAGCAGCCGGAGATGCCTTACTAATTTTCTGCCAATGGGTATTTTTGGTTCCGTCTCTATATAGTATTTCTAAAAACAGTACTCATTTGAGAGGTAAAAGCAATTCTGATTCATTCCACAAGATTGATGATTGTTTAGCTTCCTTTACTTTGATGCTTCATTGTAATCCTCCTTCCCCCGTTAAGGAATTTAGTAAATTGTTTTCTGCACTTGTTCGAATGAAGCATTATGCTACTGTCATTTCTCTCTCTAAACAGATGGAAATGTTTGGAATTTCACATGATATTTGTTCTTTTAATATTTTGATTAATTGCTTCTGCCACCATGTGGATTTTGGATATACTCTTATGGGAAAAATCTTTAAACTAGGTTTTAAGCCTAATATTGTAACGTTTAATACCTTAATCCATGGGCTTTGTAGGGAGGATAAATTTGGTGAAGCTGTGGATTTGTTTAATGATATTGTTGAAAAGGGTATCAACCTGATGTTTATACCTGTAATGTGATTGTGAATGGTCTTTGTAAAATTGGGAAAACCACTGTTGCCTTTGGTATTCTGAAAAGAAAGGTGGAGAAAGGTTGTGAGCCTGATTTGGTGTCATATAATGCTATCATTGACAGTATCTGCAAGGATAGATTTGTTACTGAGGCATTAGACCTCTTCTTCAAAATAAAGAGCAAAGGTATCTTACCTAATGTTGTGACCTACAACACCTTAATCCGTGACCTACAACACCTTAATCCGCGGTTTGTGCATGTCAAGCAGATGGAAGGAAGCTTTTATGTTGGTTAACCAAATGTTGAGAGCAAACATTAAACCAAATATAATTACCTTCAATACTTTGGTTGATGGACTTTGTAAGGAAGGAAAAAGGTTTCAAAGGCTTATGGCGTAGTCAAATTGATGATGCAGAGAGATGCAACTTGATGTTATTACCTACGGTTCATTGATGGATGGATATTGTCTACACAATGAAGTGGATCAAGCTAGAGAAATTTTTGACACGATGATAAGCCAGGGTTGTGCACCTAATGTTGTCATTTACAGCATCTTGATTCATTGTTACTGTAAGAAGAGCAAAGGATAGATTGAGGCAATAGCGGCTTTGATGAATGCCTGCAAGGGCTTCGACTAATGCATGCGGCTTCTTGATGAAATGCCTTGCAAAGGCTTGATGCCTAATGATTTCACTTATAATTCTCTTATACATGGCTTGTGTAAAGCAAAGAGCCCTTCGGCTGCGCATAAGTTTTTCAAGAACTTGTGTGCTAGTGGCCATTCTCCAGATAATGTAACCTACTCAACTCTGATAGACAGCTTTTGTAAGTATATGTGTCTTGATATGACGTCGGATCTATTTCATGAAATGCAAAAGAACTTGTCGAAGCCTTACCTCATTGTTTATAATACCTTAATTGATGGTATGTTCAAAGCTGGAAAGATTAAAGATGCAAAGGAACTGTTTCGTAGACTTTCCATAGAAAGGTTGCAGCCTGATGTTTGCACATACACTATAATGGTTAATGGACTTAGTAAAGAAGGATTACTAGATGAAGCAGTGAAAGTGTTCAGGAAAATGAAAGGAAATGGTTGCTTACCAAACAGTTGCTTTCATATTTTTTATGATCCTATGCAGCTATTTCTACTCTTTTATTTGTTATTCTGATTGTTGAATTCGCAGTAGCTATCAATGAGCTCTATTCCTATATAGAATTACTGCATTTGCTCCCTTTATGTCGTTATTTCCACTATGGCTGAACTTTTTCGCTTTCTTTTTGGCAGTTTAGGGATATGATGGAGTCAATTTGCACATCTATGGAGGCATATGCCTTGCACATCCATCTACTTTGTACATCTAATTAAAGTTATTTTTGAATTACCCGTATATATAGATTTATTTATTGGAAAATTTTTTAATATTAATAGACAATAACTAAATAATTATTACTCTATTTTTTTAGTGTTAGGATCTAACTGCAAATTTAACTACATATCTATCTACATTCTCCATCTATTACAAGTTATTCCTTCATTTATCTATATATTTGAATTGCTTATTCTCAAATTTATTTATATATTTTAATAATTTAATTTAAATATGCTGGATCTTTTTCAAATATTGAAGTAGAAATTCATACTTTGTACTATTATTTTATTTCTTCTCTGTAAAATAAATGTAAAATATGAATTAACTTTCGATAAAAAAAATAGTATCTATTTTTCTGATTATCAAATTCAAGACAATTTAAATTTTACTTTTTTTTCTTTTGTTTGCATGCTCACCAAGTTAGGTAGCTCTCATATTTAATGATTTTCTCTATAAAATTCTATTATTTAAATGCAATTCAAATATCTAAATATCTTACATAATGGTTTCAAATTTCATTTCAACCATTGTCATTTACCGAATTTCAATGTTAACGATTTACAATATTAAAATATTTCAAATATTATCGTAGTTTTCTTTATTATAAATCTTTTTAATATTTTGATAATAACAATTGTTATTATCCTTTATATACTATAAAGTTGAAGTTCCACAAATCAACAAAGTAAACTAAACAATCTCTTTAATGCAAAAGTTGTACACTGTTAAACTATAATTTTGTATATCATTTTGTCTGCAAAAAACTACAATAAAGATTCTTTATGCCTTGTATCGAAACTATCCATTGAATTAGAGGTGGCTATATTACAGTTCCAGAATCAGAAGATATAGAGTGCGTCCGCCCTAACAGAACAGAAGACACCCACGTGTCTAGCATATGATCATAGCTTCTTATCAGAATGGCATCAAATGCCGAGCATGCTATGGCATCAAATGCCGAGCATGCTCATCAGACAGAATAAAAATCAAATCACCACACTAAGGTATCATTCGAGAGCAAATCCTTATTTTAATCTTACTTCATATCACTTATCAGAAAACTTTCTTATTCGTTGTCTTCTAACATTCATAATGTAAGCATTACTTTAAAATCATTTACTTAACATACATTACTTACATAAACAATTTTTTATCATCATTAATCATAATGTAAGCATTACTTTTTAGAACTTAAGTAATCATTTATACTTAAACAACCAATAATTACTTAATATAGGAAATTTATCATAATCCTTTTCCTTTTAAAACTTTCTTTAAGTCTATAATTGAAATTTATCATTAAGAAATTTCTTATCATATAAAATCTATTTTCCTTATTCAAAAATATAGAACATACACCTTAATACCATATATATTTGATATAAAACTCTAAAAACATATAAAAAGTTTATAATAATCATATTTTATCATATATATAAGAATAATTAAGTAAGCTTTTACTTACACAAGGTGTGTAACCAAGGGGAGGAATTTCCTTCTCAATCAGCATGCTACACAACTCTTATGCACAAAAGTATCCAATTTCAACCCTATCATGCATTATCTAAACCAATTCCACACTTTTTCAATTATATCATTTTTAACATATCCACTTACAACACTTGTCAAACTTTATTGTCGTATAATGCTAAACCACCACAACATAATCAGAGAACTTTCATCACACTTGATTTTACATACTTTTATCCAAATAAAAACCTATGATTTTAAGAATAGAAAATTTCCAGCATTAATATATCTTTGACCTTTGGATGGGTTTTTAAGACATAACTTAAGTTTGTGTCTCCAAATTGAGTGATGTTTGATTCATTAGAAAGCTAAGACCAACAATACTACAATGTATAAGACCCAGCGCGATCAATCTTTAGAGATGAAACCAAAAGGTAGGAACAGCAGACAACAGGTCTAGACGCTATTCAGCGAACTAATTTTCAATGTCTATCACAATTCCTACTTATCCAAAACACTCAATTCAAACCAATCCAAAACAGAGAGTCCTCAGACACCGCGGGAACACTGTTATGAAGAACTCAGAATTTAGGTGATTCATCTCATAGTCGGTCAAAATGGGCACTTCAATTCCAGTTAATTGCATGTTGGCCGTTTCAATACGAAGTTAGTTTTAGGTGGTTTTAGCCATAAGTTGAGCTATATATATCCAAATTGGACACAGAGATGGGTTGGAAAAGCTAAGAAGTAGACCTAAAAACTTTCATGAAGGACTCAGTACACCAATGGAAAAATCAAAAGGATCGAAACAGTCCTTAATAACACCCAATAACCACTTTGTCCTAATTCAGTTTCAGCTTACTTAAATCATATACAAGGTAGAGATTTCTACCACATACTCAATACTCATCAAATATCATCTTAAGATCACAAATCCTCAAAGAATTACAAGAAAACTTAAGGCCTTATTCATCAATAGGTTCTGCCACTCTTGGAGGATGAAGAAGAAAATGTTTTCCTCATCAATTCAACATATAAGTATGCTTAGAAATCTCCCAAGAACACATGTATACCACCAAAAGTCAATAATCAAATTATTTCATATAAAATTTCCAATTTTCACAAAATAGTATAAACTTCACAAAATCAAAAATTTAAACAAGGTAAGAGGATTTATGAAATAAGTATAGCTTACATTATGAATTTAAGAAGACTCTCAATACATAAAAGTAGTCATGCACAAATCATAAAGTTATGCAACTCATGCAATGTGCCATATGGACTATTCTAACTTAACCATTTATCCATAAGAATTTGGTAGTTCCATCCAAATAGAATTCACTTAGATCAAGTTGAATGGTGTCAAATTGGTGGATTTTGTGAGTATAAGTGAAGAAAACAAAGAGAAGAGAAA